TGCCCGTCCGTCGTTTGCTTTTCATCACAAAATCCTGCGTAGCGGAGCGTTGGGAGGTTTATTCGAAATGACTCGAAGCTCCGGCTTCATCAGCTGCTCTGCGGCTTCCTTTGATGGCTCGAAGGCGCCAAGTTTCGCCTCCTGTTTATTCTTTTTCCAGGTCTTTCTCCATGTTCATCGAGATATAAGACGTCTTCGCAGTTGGAGGGGCTTCTAATCCCATTTCTGATGTTTGCGAAAAGGGTACTGCGTGAATTGTTCTTCCTTCGATGGATTCGCAGTCCTATCTACTTCCCTACATCGAGTTCTTTCAATATTCTTTCCGCTTAAAATAAACCCTTTTCGCAACTGATATGCTAAGTGGACAATGGAAAAGTTGCATCATTGTAGGGCAGTTCTTGCGGAGTCGATCAATGTCCTTATGTAAGACGAGTCCACACCTTGATCGAGGAGCGCTGGAAGTATGGCACCAATCTTATTGCTGTAAAACGCTTTCTTATAGTCGATGAAGGTTGGGACGAGAGGTAGGCAGTACTCTCGACAAATCTCGTAATCCTTGGAACCGCCTGCTTGTGATCTATGCAGCTAAACTCCGTGCGAAATCCTGCTTCTTCTACAGTTTGGGCCCACTGCCCTTGATATGCGAACGAGGATAATCTTTGTGGAGCTTGTAAAGCAAGCACAGACATATTGGAATAGTTCCTAAGATCCTCTTTAATGCCCTTCTTATGAGATTGCTTGGGAAGTTTTCCATTGGTCGAGGATCCTTTCTGAAAAGGCGTTACGTGCATCGCAAGTGTCTCCGTAGGCGATGTCGTCTAGTTCGTAAGGCGTGGGCCGAAAAGGCTCTGTTTGGGAGCCGTGGCTGCCTTCATGGCCTGGATGCGCGTACTTCATCATGTTCCGTGGTGATATTCCTACAGTGGAAATAAGTTCTGACAGTTGTTAAACAGAAGATGTTGTAGGGTCTGAACCATTCCATTGTTATTTCGAGAAGATGTGCGAATCCCATCTTCTTTTAGTAATGTTCAGCGGAAACGGTAGTCAAGAAGGCGCGACGGGAGTTCTTTAAACTTCTGTTCCTCGCACTACCCCCACAAGTTTCGATTGCACGTATTTTCGTAGATCTTCTTGCAAGGCTGTTCTGCTACTGGTATTGACTTCCAGTCGCTCGAAAAGTGATGCAGTCGAATCCAAACTCACTGCTGTCCTCCTCTTAAGCGAATCCTTGATAGCTTCCGAAATGCGTTCCAAGTTTGCTGGGGCATTGAGGCAAATTCAGCACGGGTTAGTTCTGAGAAGCAGGTCTACTCCTTCGCTGAGTCTTC